GTCTGCTTGAAAGCCAAGGGGGTGTAACCAGGTTAATTTATAACAGTGTCAATTTTCATTGAAATCTGCTTTTTTTTGAAAAATGAAAAAAGGACACATTCTTTACACGTAAACCTTTTAGCAAGCTAATATTGTTTAAGAGTCTGGAGTGACCCTTTAATTATCCAAGGTGCAGTCTGTTACACTGTGGCAAGTGTTTCTTAAACAGCACTGGAAATCACGATACCAATACCCCGCTATTACATTCCCCTTAGATATAAGTTAGCATTTATTGAAAAAAGTCAAAATTTACAATCACACGCCCAAGACAAAAAAAAAATTACCATATGCATTTAGTGCTGAAGACAAAGTATTTTCCTGGGTATACAAAGATTCACATAGGCATCACTTTAAATAGCAAGTTAATTGTGAGGCAGTTCATGTTAACGCTTACACTGTCCGTACGCAGAATTATTATCGGGGCAGTTCTCATCATGTTAAGTCCCCCATGCAAATACATGATACTAATTAGTATATCTGATTAACTGCCCATAAGAGCTACACCAGTGGATCTTTTTCAGCTGAAACCAAATGTAATTTAAATCCCGGTTAAAGTTTGGGGCTCATTTAAAAACAAACTTTGGCTTTGGTGGTAGAGATCTTTCAAACCTTTTCGTCCTTTAATATGTGCCAACTTTTTCTAAATATTTTCTTCAAAACTTTATTTTGTATTATCAATATGATCTAAAGCAATAGGGTGCATATTTTATGAATTTGTTGGTAATTTTTGTTTTACAATTTAAAAGACTACCTCTGTTAGTTTGCCGAATCTTATTTAATTCCTTGGCCAAGGTAAGTGTAACAGGGCTTGAGGAGAGGTTGAGATGGTGAGATTTCATGGTAAGAAGTGGTGATTGTGGTAAGATGAGGGATTGAGTGTAACAGGGTATGTGTCAGGATTAGGGTTGTGAGTGTGACAAGTTTTCTGATGAGTGTGACAGTGTGAGGGGTGCTGAGTGTGACACTGTTGTTGTTAATAGAGTGATGGGTGAGTGGGTGCAGTGTGAGGGGTGCTAAATGTGACAAGGTTTACATGGTTGGGGGTGACAATGTATGAGGTCTTAGTATGTGTTGGGGAGGGACTATATGTGGGGTTAAACACAGTATCTTCACATAGTAATCCATTTATTTAATTTTTATTACATTTGCTCTCCCCCCCCCCACTTAGCTCATGTGCTGGAAGGGGCAATAATACATTGCTTGATAATCCAATGGGATCCCTGGTGGTCCACTGGGGTCCCTGATGGATTGTAGTAGTCCAATGAGATCCCTAGTGGTCCAGTGGACAATTGGTAAACTCCCGTATCCTGCATTTTGAGTGTCTCATAGAGCAACGGGACTGTGAGGGGCTGCACAATGGACCACCAGGGAAGCATTTTTAAAGGACCAATCTTTTGATCTCATTGCCGGATCACCCAGATTTTGTCTGAGCCTATACCTCTGCTCAATTCTCTGTCATTTGGCAATGTTGTTTAAAAGTATTAGGAAGATCCGTTTCATATCAGTTTGTTCTACATTTTAAATATATTTTTCTTCTCCAATTGTTCAAGAAACTTAAATTTCTTTAAATTGTCCTGATTGAGTGATCCTGTACAGTCATTCTGATTTAGTTCCCTGGTATCCTACATTCTAGGAATGTTGAGTGGTAGCTGATACAAAACAAATACATATTGTGTGCAGCTGATAAACAATAAATATACAATCTATTGTATGTACACTTAATCTATACCATCATTAACTGCAAAACATAAATAATCTGACTGCAACAATATTCATGCATAAGACCACACTTGATATTTGACATTAGTTTTTGCAATAGGATCAGACAGTATTCATTTATTTGTGTATTTCTATATTATTTATTCAAGGCAACTACATAATATTTCATGCTGAAAAAAATAGCAAATTCAATTTTCTAACTATCCTGACATAGGTAAATAGGTGCAATAAGTGTGCAAGGAAGGAAATGGATATTACTCACTTTTCCCAGAGCAATCTGAGGGTTTTGCTCAATCTTTAGCGCATAAGTTGAAACGCGTTAGTGGTTTTATTATAATCCTTTATTGTTTTATAAGTATAAATAAAGTTCCTTTTTAATTTCTCCTCCTGAATACCTTTTCATTTGGGATACACCTTTCCTAGTAATATCCAGAGTGGGGATTTGTTCCATTAAACACCAAATATTTGAAAAAAAAAATAGTAATATACATAATACACAGATGTGTTTATAGAGAGTACTATGTTTTTGTACTTTTATTTGGGACATCTGAGAGTGGAATCTGTACCATTATTCAAGGCTCTATTTCTTGTCTGTGAAGGCTTACATTCCAAAGAGGAGAACATACCATATATCCCCAATGGGGATTTTTCCACCCAGGCACAGAATATCTGAGCTGGTTTAAAGCTCTATTAGATGTAAGTGGCTGTCCGCATATTTTAAGGTCCTTATACAGATAGACACCCCACCGTCGTATTTTTATTTTGTTCCTTTTTGTCTTTCATATACATCTACTGGAACCGCAACCATCCACCTACTTGTAACTGTACTTAAAATGGTAGTCAGGTAGAAAAAGGAATTTCTACAAAAAATGATAAAAACAATACATGCTGTCTTGTTTTTTATTTATGGGGCTATTTTAGATTGTATTCTGTTTATTTTGGAGTGTTGCTATATAGCTTATGCTAAGAAAGAAGCCTTGGTTCACTACCGAGTGGTTTGCAGAAACCCCCTCCCCCCTAGAATCAAAGTATTTTGGGTGTCCTATAATTTACCCAAAAAGCACTCAGTTCTCAGTTACCATGCGCAAATTTGATAAAACGGAAGGTTTCCTCTCATTGGTCCGAGCAATCTATTCCCGACCAGCGGCCCAAGTGCTAAACACAGGATTCTTATCAGACAAATTTTCACCAATGGGACCCGGCAAAGATGCCCCTTGTCACCAATGTTACATTTGCTCGCGCTGGAACCATTGGCGACAATGATAAGGGACAACTCATCCCTTCACAGAATACAGATTGACGGTAGGATGTATAAGGCAAATGTATTCGCCGATGAAATCCTGTTGACCCTGACCCAGCCCCGCATCTCACTCCCTATCTAATGCACTTAATATCAGAAAGCGGAAACTTCTCCCTTACCACATAGACGTGCACAGCCTATTGCATTGTGTTCCTGTGTTAAAAAACTCACATTTGTGTGCAGCAAAATCTCTCGAGTACAAACGTCAGCTTTTATGTTGTATTGGAAAGTCACAGTCTCAGGTACAGGGCTTGCAAATGTAACTTTCTGGACTTTCTGCCTAAATTGTCAGGCAGGTCCCTCAAATAATAATTAATAAAAATACATAATTATGTAAAAATAATACATATATTTATTTTATTTCATTTTTTACACTTTTGGTTTGGGGGAGTGCCTGACGACACCCATAACCATTTTTACTTATTGATCTATATTCAGGAAAAAATTAAAGACACTTTGTCACAATGCATATAATCCTCATATACTTTTGAAGGGAGACAAACTTCTCATTTTAATACATTACTTACTTATTGATTTACTCACTTTGGGAGGGGGGAACAATATATGATGACAGTTATTTCAGCTAGTTTGTTTACTTATAATTAAATCAATTCTACAGGTAACAGGGCACCTTCAATATCTAATTCTATCACTGTTTCCAGCGCTTATCTTGAATATATTACTAAGGGTCCTTTTAATTTCTCTTGTCCTTAGACAATATATAATGGGGCTGGCAAGATGTGGAACATAGGTGTAGAGACAGTGAAGCAAGACACTTAAATCGGCATTAAGAATCAAACGCAGTTGATTAGCTGTAAAAATGAATAATCGAGGGACGAAGTACATGCCAATGATAAACAAGTGTGTAGAGCAGGTGTAAAATGTCTTCTGCCCGTTTTCTGAGCTCCTGGAAGAACTGATGGTCCTTATTATTACAACATATGAAAATATTATAAAAGTCAAGGGTATTAGGAGCACAATCATAGCAAGGGTGAAAGCCACTCTTCTTATAGGAAACGAGTCAACACACGCTATTGAAAGCATTGTTGAAATATTGCAATAACAGCTGTTGATTTTGTAGTTTAATATACAATAAGGAAGTTGTGATGTTAAAATAACAATTGCAATTGCAAAAAATGATGCAATGAGCCATAAAAGGCAGCAGAGAAAAATAGTCATGTTATTGGTGATTATTGTAGAATATCTCAGTGGCTTACAAATTGCAACATAACGATCAATAGCCATTAGCATGATAATGAAAGAATCAAAAGAAGCCAAATAATTGACACAGAATGACTGGAGCATGCAGGCCACAAAGGATATCTTCCCATCTGCAAACCAATACATGGCGATGGTTTTGGGCAAAGTAACTGTGTCAAAAGTGAGGTCAGAAAGGGCAAGATTCCATATGATGAGATACATTGGATGGTGTAAATGTTCTCTAAAAGCTATCAGAAGTATTACGGTGCCATTTGCCAACAGTGCTGTAGTGTAGACCAGGAACATTGTTACTGAAACCAAATGATCGAACTTCTGTGGGAGTCCAGGAAATCCAATCAGAACAAATTCAGAAAATTCAGATTGATTCGCCATTGAATTGTTTTAGAAACTCAATTAACAAAGTAGAGTATTTGTTAAATAATAGAAAGAAAAAAAGAATAGCTACAGAATAAGGAAAAAGACATGTGAACAACAAAATATCTCAAAATATATATAGTTTTTACATTAATCAAATTAGATTTATTAATTTAAATTTTTCATAGCAATAGCTATTCTAGCATAACAATTTTTTTCACCTAATTTGATAAAGGGAGATTAGAAAGAGCACCGTTTATAATATAAAAAAGTAGGGAGATTAAGTGAACCTAAAGATTAAAAATGAGATATCATCAAAAATTGTTGTAACACTTGATATAAAAAATGTATAGGTCATAATGCCTAATATGATAAATCTCAATATCATGGCTTAG